TATCACAAGTGAACTTTTCCTTATTGTTTCCCTATGTTTCTTCCTGGGTTCATATTTTCATTAGAGGAGCTGCACCCATTCACCCCTATTTTAAAAACTCACTGACACTTTTCCCCCTACATGTTACAGACTGGCCTTCAAATCCAGCATGGAATCTTTAAAATTCTAGATTCATCTCCTTCACATTTTGTTTTTAGGGCTGTTGATTGGTCCATAGATCGGTCTCTTAGGAATATTACAATAGCTAAAAACTGATCATTGACTTTTCCAACTCATTTTCCACTTAGGCAGCAGAAACTGATTTTTAAAAAAAAATCTGAGGGGCTTGGATTGTAGCTCAAACTACCATGTGTGATGCACTTGGTTCAATCCTCAGCACCACATTAAAAAAAAAAAGTAAATAAACAAAAAAAAAAGGTATTGTGTCTATCTACAGCTTAAAAAAACTTGAATTTCTTTTAAGCTTTTTTTTTTGCTTATATAATCATTTGAACAAAATCTTCATGATATGTCTTCTCCTTATTATTCCATTATTAATAGCTTTCCTTCCTTCAACTTTAGAAACCTAATGTCTTAATAAAGCAAAGATGTGATTACTGAGCAAACTTTAAGATTATTATACTTATGGCCACAAAGAAATAAACTGAATTTTCACCCCTATGTGATAGTGAAAAGGATAGTCTCACTTTTCTCTGAAAGTAGCCTGAACTCCAGGTTAGCAGGGGTGTGGATCCAATAGTACAGAACTCAAAATGGAGGTTGGGGATGTTAACTTCTATCTGGGGAAAACTTTCTCTTCCTTCTATTTGCCTCTCCTCCAATTCATCTCCCAAATGTCACCTTTAAAGTAGAATTCATAGCTGCTTCACTATGACTGTCTTGTTCTCACTGTCTTAATCAAAATGTACTAAAACATTAGAAAATGTTGACTCACACAAAAGGATGACCCCAAATTTTATGAATATACTTGATGTTCTTTCTACACTCCCTACTACATTCATACTTCTATTATAGCACTTAAGTTGTCATGTAGTTGTTTCCATATTGTTCTTCCCTCATTGCACTCTTTCTGAAAGAGAAGTACCACATTTTACTCATATCTGTATCCTTAGTGCCTAGGATAGTCAGGTTAGCCAATAAAAAGTAAATGCCAAATCAATAATGGAAAATGAATGAATAAATGTATTAATCGTTATTTCTGACTTCTCTAAACTGGCAACTTCACAAAGGCAGGATACAATCTTAATCCTTTTTCCTAATACATATTATAATTACTGTATCGCATATATTGTTTCCATTTAGTGTTTTATTTTCTATCTACAAGAATTTTTCATATTCCACTCTCCACATATTACTATGGTTTAATGTTTTACACGTTGAACAATGACACAGATTTTACTGAAGAAAGTCCCAATCATCTAATATAATTCCTTGATTTCCTACAGCTTAAGATACTGAGCCAATCAGGTGATTTTTCCATCATAGCAAATGCTCAGTCAAGAACTGATTTCTCTTTTTTTGCATATGGATTTCCAGTTTTCCCAACACCATTTGTTGAAGATGCTATCCTTCCTCCATTGCATGCTTTTAGCCCCTTTATCAAATATAAGAT